ACCTCCATGAAATGTGTCATGGAGGTTATATTTTCAGTTGCGTTTATCTGTCCGTCCGTCTGTCTGTCCGTCTGTCCGTCTGTTGGTCAACAAGATAACTCAAGAACGCCTGGATGGATTGGTTTCATACTTGGTGTGTTGGTAGGGTGTGACGAAAACTGGAAATGATTAGATTTTGGGCCCCCTAGTGGCTTCCCTTGGTACTGCAGCGCAACTTCCGGTTTTGATATCTCGCGATCTGGACATGCTAGGGTCATGAAATTTGGATGGAAGGTAGCTCTTGTCCTCGGGAAGAAGTCACGTGAGTTTGGTCCCCCTAGCAGCTTGTTCTGGGACTGCAGGGTGGTTTCTTTGAAAATCTTCGAGAGAGGATAACTGAACAACCGTTTGATGGATCATCATGATTTTTGGTATGTAGGTAGCTTAAGTGATGCTTGACATAATCAAAATATAATTATGCAAATCAGGAGCTAATTTGCATAATTAATGAGGAAATTCTATAAATCAGCTGTATTTCATATTAGGGCTATAAAACTCTATAGACATATGTTAGTGAGAACGACAAGATCATTGGCAGATATCGATTATGTAAAGGAAGACCTAATTTGCATAATAAATGGCAAATTGGTACAATTTTATGGTGGTAACTGCTGGGAACTTAATACTTGCCATAATTGGAAGTTCAGTGAAGGTGAACATCACTAAACATAATTTATGTCAATCAGGACCTCATTTGCATAATTTATGAGGAAACGCTAGAATAGCCTTATTTCTTAAAATAACCCTGTCATTTGGTGGAGAGTATGATCAATTGATACAATATATGCAAATGGCCTCATATGATTTGAATATATGCGGTGAAAAATGTAAGCCAATTACAGGTGGTCATCACCATGCGTAAGATTTATGAAAACAATACACATGTCATGGAGGTATGAGATCATCGAACTCTAGTTGGAAATCAATTTCGTTTACTTTGTTCTGCTTAATGTTTTTCGGCAGTGGCGCCATCCTCTCGATCTCATTAGGCTTCCCAAGAGGTTTTTGTTGCCGAAAGCGTTCTGGTCATTATGACTTCAGTCATAATGACCAGAACGCTTGTTGTTTTTGCTCACGTTACTTCTTCTTCTTCTTCTTCTCCTGCCATTTCTTTAAATTGATTCAACTCCTTCATTTTTGGGCCAAATAACATGAAATTTGGCATGAAGGTAGAGTGGGCAAATACCCCCAGGTGTTGTTTTTCATTTTTGTGATACAGGCTTTTAAACCGTTTTATTTGAGCTTTTTGGCTGTGTTATAGAAAATGTACTATAACAGTGTGTTGCCATATTTGGGCATGAGTCATCAGAATGGCATGTGGAGTAGGCAACCAATAGGCATGCAGCTTTCCTCTATTCTCCTTGCTGATTGGCTGTTCGGATCTGATTGGGTTAACTCAATTAACACCTGTACAAAGCCATGCCATATTGACTGTATGAACTTTATTCAAGTGTTTTGGTAGGTATGTCAAGCTTTCCTGCTCCAGTATTGGAATACGGGGCATAAACGCTTCTTTTATCTTGAAAATCAACAGTTTGCATTATGAAATTAAAAATCTCTACCAATAATGTAAGGGATAGCTATCCAACTGTTGTAGTCTTAGTTGTATGTTACTTCATACTATAGTTAAATCAATGTAAAGAATTGTCTTCCCTTGTATTTCTCCTTCTTTCCCTGCCATGTCGTGAAATGTGGTGAAGTCATGCTGAATTTACTACAAAGCAAATGTCGGCCTTTCTAGTTTCGTATTTGTTCTTTCTGCGGCACAATTAATGTATGGTAGCATCTTATGGGCCCCTTAAAGGCATCTAATGGCATCTTAAGGCGGCAAAACGCCGTATAAACGCGAAGTAAGGCCATCTGTATAATATGACACATACTGCCTCACATTTTGAGTTACTGATTTGATTTAGATTTATTGAAATTGCAACATTTCAATACACGCGGAACAGAGGCAGTTGTTGCTGGTGTTGTGTCCCGCACAAAAAGAAACGAATACTGGACAGACATTACTCAATTCACTTGGGTCTAGTGGGGAAAGTCGTGTAAAGTGCCTTTCTCAAGGGCATAGGATCGGTGGCATGTCAGGACTCGAACCCGGGACCCTCTTGATTCCGAGTTGCGCACGCTATACCAGCTGTCAAGAAGGTCGTGTAACTAGAGAAATCTGTGAAAACAGCAAGCTTTACCAAATATAGATGTGATTGATGACTTTCGTTCTCTGGGACAGACTGAATGCAATCATATCTAAATTACAACCTGACCCAAGGGCCATGCGGAAACACAGACGGACACAAACACTATGACACATACACACACACACACACACACACACACACACACACACACACACACACGCGCGCGCGCGCGCGCGCGCGCGCAGAGAGAGAGAGAGACAGAGAGACAGACAGAGAGAGCCAGAGAGAGAGCCAGAGAGAGAGAGAGAGAGACAGACAGAGAGACAGGGAGAGTGAGAGAGATAGTGAGAGAGTGAGAGAGACAGAGAGAGAGAGAGAGAGAGACACAGAGAGAGGGGGGGAGAGAGAGAGAGAGAGAGAGAGAGAGAGTGAAAATTGCAAATGGCACCGTTTTGAAACTTCCCCGTGTGTGTGTTTCCAGATGATAGGACTGTACCAGTCTACGCTGATCACGGTGGCTATCAGTGTGGACCGGGCGGTGGCCGTGCTGTTCCCCTTCAGTAAGAGCGGCGCTCCTCACCGCACCAAAGTCATGATCATCACCTGCTGGGTTCTCAGCACAGTCTTCAGCTTCCCGCAGGTTTGTTTGTTTGTTTGTTTGTTTGTTTGATTGTTTGTCCCTTCAGTAAGAGCGGCGCTCCTCACCGCACCAAAGTCATGATCATCACCTGCTGGGTCCTCAGCACAGTCTTCAGCTTCCCACAGGTAATGCCAGGGTCTTAATACATGTATATCCTATTCAAACCTCTGGGACAACTCTCTTGCCTTCACCACTTTGCAAGCAAGAGGCATGTGAGCAGTAATGACACAGAGCGTGTAATACTACACATTTGGTGGAAAATTACAGGATAATACAAATATTATGGACATGCACATCTTCCCTCATTGCATTACTAGTGTTTTTGGATGTGGCATGTTAGTTGTGATTCTCCATAATCAACCCTAGCTGATGAGTTGTATAGGGGTTGAATAATTTTGCCACCTGCTTTTTGTGTTAAAGTTGCCATTTCAAATGAACTATGAAAAAATATTGACTTTTTCTCTGATATTAAATTGTAATAAACTATCTGTTAATCACTTACATGAGTTAGGCATGTTCTACAGTTGTAATTTTCCTTATTTTGGCAAAATTCCCCAAAATACAAGAGGGGTTGAATAATTTTGCATGCGACTGTATATATTCCAACATGTAATCACAAGACGTGGTGACGGCACACTCAAGTTTTTTCAACTTATATTAATGCCGTCACCAACACAGGGGACAATACAACACTCAGTTTCACCTGAGCGAAGTGAGGAAAGTCGTGCAAAGTGCCTTTCCCAACGGCACAAGATCGGTGGCATGTCAGGACTCGAACCCGGGACCTGTTGGTTCCGAGACGAGCACTCTACCGCTACGCCACACGACCCCACTAGGGTCACATTTCTAAGCCGGGGCCCGGTCGGATAGTTTGCGAGAACGAAAAAATATGATTATCATATAAAAGACAACGAAACACACAAAACGTTAAAAAGATAATACTATGATGAGCATGCCGATGATGGTTTGCGCAAATTTTTGATATGCATTTCTTTTTCGTTCATTAAAACTGCCCGGCCGGGCCCCGGCTTAGAATTGTGACCCGAGCGTAATTCTTTCTCAACACTTAAGGCCATTTCGGTTCGAATATATGGATGACATCCAAGCGCGCATGAATTTCCAAAAAAAAAGTTTTCGACCATACTGTAAATCGTACAAAGCAGCTGCAAAATGAGCAAATATATGCCGTAAATTGAAAAGAAACGGTGTAGAATGTCGAGACTAATGTTGTAGAATGCCAAAATCAATTTCAATGGTAAAGAAGATAATGTAAAGAAATTAGTTTATTTTTCGTCATACCACACACACACACACACACACACACACACACACACACACACACACACACACACACACACATAATACTGTACACACACACACACATACTGTGTGTTAAATCATGTTTGGTCACCGTTGCGTTAGAAACTTGCCTGTTGCAGATCATATCTTTTCCGACATAACATTTTGGAAACTATTTATTTATTTATTTCTGTATTAACGGGATGTTGACCTTACATGTGAGAATACGACCTTATATGAGACGTTCTGCAAAAGTTTGTTTGTTTGTTTGTTTGTTTGTTTATTTAGGAATCTCCCATTAGTGATAATATGTACATCACTATTCCTATACAACATAAAATACAACTATTATTTACATTTACGTTCAACTGCTATCATTGACATTATGCTGCAGGAAAACTTATCTAATCAACATAGTAAATTTAAAGCATCAATTATTACATCAATTATTACAGCAATATTACACTATACAGCCATCAATCAATAATATTACACTATACAATTAGCCAAAAAACAATTTTGTAATAGATGTCTGAGAGGTCAGAGGTCATGAAATTGTGCAGAATATATTCAAAACGTTTACCACCAGGAGTTAATTGGTGTGTGTTTGTTTTTATGTGCTTTTGTCCAATTCCAGATTGTTTCTTTAAACGTTCGTGGGAACGTTGAGGATGTGATGTGAGTAGGCAAAGTGTTGTATGTTTTAATGCACCTGTGTACGAAAGTCCGAGTCATGGCGTTGGTTCTAGGTTTAGATTGTTGGAATGCTCCTTTTTGTGCCAGTCTAGTGTTGTGCGAATGTGCTATGTACAATACATTACGCGCGGGTTTCTCGTAGGTGCAGTACGTTTTGCCAAGGTGCTTGGCAGGCAGCATTGATAGATGGCCTTGTGAGATATAGTATGACACCCCTATGAAACTGCAATATTCAGGATTATGTTTGAAGTAGCGTTTTATTACGCTCGCCTATCGCTCGCAAGATGAATGAGAAATGACAAACTACTTCGTTCAGTCACTTTATCAAAAGTTGATACCGTGTCGTACTAGTCATGTTGAGAAATGTCACAAACATGTACGAAAATGAAGACAATCTGTAGTCAATCCATCAACTGAAAATCAGCATTCGAATGAAAGCTTATCTGTGTTAGTAGAATCCGTAGTTATAGAGTTTAAGATTTGTTTCAACAAACAGAAAGGAACTCACCATGAATTTTCAGTCGATCTGGTCGACCTTCGTCAGATGTATGATTCCCAATTCCGACTTATCTGATATGAAGGTCGTAGTGGGGTCGTGTGGCGTAGCGGCAGAGTGCTGGACTCGGAACCAAGAGGTCCTGGGTCCGAGTCCTGACATGCCACCGATCTTGTGCCCTTGGGAAATTTTTCACTTTTTACGACTTTCCTCACTTAACTCAAGTGAAAATGAGTATTGTTCTGTCCTGTATTTGTACTCTGTGTTGGTGGCGGCATAAAATATATATTGAGTGTGGTGTCGCCATGCTTGGTCATGAAATGTTGGAATACATATATATATAT